ACGAAAACTGAACTGCGAGCTGGTCAAGCGTCTCACCTGAGGGCCGCTTAACTGGCAAATACTGCAAAGGCTGGGCCGAGCATCGCATAGCCAACGCTGGCCAGCTCACAGCCCGTTGGAGCTTCCCGTGCGCCCTGCGCCAGGCACACGCCTGACTGACTCGGCCCTAAGCGACTATTTTCTATACCCTGAATACATTCAAGAGGAGGGGTATATCTACATACATATATGCTATGTAGATTCGACACATTTTTGCAGAGAAATAACTCCTATAGAGAATAGATGTGAGCACTTCGACTGCTAGTTGTGCTCTCCAGCTACCATTGTCTCTCCCTCTCTCTCTCTCCCTCACTCATTCTTTCCCTCCCTCAGGTAATGGATAGCTCATTGTCCTTCACTCTATGTTAGCTCGCTCTTTGGATATATCTCAGTTGCCCATCTGATTCTATTTCTCCCTCTCTCACTGTCTCTCTTTCTCTCTCTCTCTCTCCTCATACTAGCTCATTCTCTCTCTGGAGATATCTCGATTATCCATTGCCTGCATCTGACTCTCTCTCTCTCTCTCTCTTTCTCTCTCTCTCACTCTCTCGCTTTCTCTGCCTCTCTCTGCCTCTCTCTGCCTCAGGTGATGAGTAACTGATAGTCGTTCACTCCCAACTTTAACTCTGAGGTGTCTCAATTGTTGCTTTGGTCTAGCTGCCCATTGTCTGCATCTATCTCTCTCTCTCCCTCTCCCTCTCAGTCTCACTCTTTCTCTCTCTCTCTCTTCTATCACTCTCTCCCACTCTCTCTCTCTCTCTCTCTCTCTCTCTCTCTCTGTCTCTCTCGCTTGTTTGGTTATAATATGAAATAAAATCAAGATTTTCATCTTCTTCACTGGGTCGCCATGGCTGGCCAGGCATTAGCCTATCCAATTGAGTGCTTCCATAGCCAGTGCCAGTGCCACTGCCGGCACCACTCAGTAAACAAGTGGCCGAGTGCTAAATGTATGCCATGTTCTATTAATAATTTGATTTCTGGGTCATAATATTAAAAGTCCTTGCTTTAATCGAATCGAATCTAAGCAAAGGCATAAACAAATGTTTGCTCAACTAATTCGATTCTCTATTGATTATTATGCACATTATAGTTGGCAAATCGCGTTTATATCGCTCATAGAAATCAACCAAAACCCACTATATGCATAAGAATAATGAACACTTTTTCTTTCTGTGCAAAACATTTAAAAAATTGATGACGACTCCAATGGCAATGGGTCAGCCGTAAAAAGGGGAATTCAAATGGAAAATCATGAATGTTTTATGCGTACGCGTTCGCAATGTCAAGTTGGGTGGGAGCAGAGATGAATATGCATAGATTGCATATATATTCACATTACCTCAGCTCATAGAGTCTTTAGAGTGAAGTCGAGAATAATTACGGAGCATAAATGCCATTGTTAATGATTTAACGCAAGACTAGAGACGTGTCTACCGAACCCAGCTGGTAATGTCAGGGTTATAGATAGGTATAGCTATAGGTATATTACATAGCTGAATTGCTTAGACTTTAGACTTTGTGGAACATATCTATACACAGATTCATAGTATCACGAGTATTATGTAGTCACTGTTGCCTTTTTACTCCCAATTTCATTTAAAATTTTTGTATATTTCTATTATGCCTAGTGTATTGGTCTAAATTCTATTTATGTTATTTATTATTTATCTTACATTTATCGCCTTTGATGTTTGCATTTTTATTATATTTGGGCTTTATACGCAGCCTGATGTGCTTCAAGCCACATCAGTGTGTTCCCATTTACTCATACATATTAAAAAGCCTATGCGTTGTTTACACACACACACACACACATACATACACACACAAACCACAAATCCTAAAATTGCAGTATATACATATATCAACTTATACATCTAGATATTTGTGGGTGATTTTGTGGCCGAGCATATTGGAAATGGGAATTGAAATTGATTTTCGAAATTGATTTCGTTTGAAATCGCAATTTTTTTCTATGAATTGCGATTGGTTTTCATAACGTGTAAATAATTTGATATTTAATATTTTATTGCATTTAATTAAAATTGGAAATGCCATCGTAAAAACATGACAATGATGAAGTCAATGATGAAGTTTTAGCATTGCATATTTCACTCACATTTTACACAATTTGCCGTTTGCATATTTATGTTTTTTCTTTATCGGTCAATTTAACTCAATCTCTCGCTCTCTCGCTCTGCCTCACTCTCAATCTCTGCCACATTGTTTATCTTTCTCGAGTACGTACTATAAATGCGTGAAAGCGGGTATATTGGCTTGTAAGAATCTTGATTGGGACTAAGAGAAGTGTTTAGCTTGTCCTGTTCACTCGCCTTTAGAAAGGTCAGTGTTAATGGATATAATATATATGTCTCAGGCCTTTAGTCTGGAATCTAGGGAACGTATAGATAAAATACCTTACAGCTAAACCGATGAAATCGATAATTATCGATTGTTTAATAGATAAATTCGTTGTATATAGGAATATCTATCTTCTGTTTACTTCACTGGCTACAATTTAGAAAGAATACCAAGAGAAGAATAAGTCATCAATCTCTTTCTGTTTCTGCTAATTCGACAAAAACTCTGCTGACGATGGAACCAGAGGGTTATTGATGTTGCTACAGCCTATGCACACAGCATGCTCACTTTTATGGCTGCCTATACCTTCTTTTTTCTCGCATTGTTGATTGTTAATAAAAGATTCTCATTAGGTATAAGCAAATAAGATGTACTCGAATTCATCTTGGGTTATCCCCCCCAGTTCGCGCCGTTTCACTCAATGTTTGAGCTTCGCATTGTTGTGCTGTCTCCGGGCTCTGGGCTCTGGGCTCTGGGTTCTGGTTACGCCGAAAGAGATTCACGCCCTGAAATTGAATGCTTTATTTGCGCTAATTGGTTGTCGTCCTTTCGCCGTTGTCCTTTTGCCAGCGCGCAGCGAAGCCAAGCTGCGGTCTCATATTACCAATCCCATAAATATAATTCCCTGTATCTGGTGTCGAAAATTTAATTAACCTATTGCCAATAGGGAAATCGAACGGGCATAAAAAGTATTTAAAGACTCCGTTAATGGAAGCCCGGTTACTAATCATTTAGGTAACCTATTTTTAGAGAGCTGATAAAACATATTTAAGGCAATGCGACTCAAGCTCTAGAAATTTTTTTTCGAAACAATGAATGCTAAATAATAATGATCTCTTCAAATACTCTACTTACGAAGCCCTGAGTCATCGACTCAATGACGTCACAATTTATACATTCTGCTCTGAGAATATATAAAATGTGATTCAGGTTCGTATAGGGAATGCCTGTTGATCGATAAAAGGTGTTCTTATCATCAAAAATTGTTATGCTCATTTCACAAAAATGTTGTTCTTGTTTTCTTTATCTCGAATTGAACGAGAAACGTAACAATTGACAGGCAATTTCTCACAAGAACAGAAGACACGGCAAACGTCAGTCACATATCACAAATATTTATATATATTCAAGTGCTGGCTGCTATTCCAATAAATTCAAGTGTTCATAACCATTTGCGATTTAGTATTCACTTAGCCATCGTTGCGAAACGAGCAGAATATTCAAGAAATACAATAAACAATATAGAGTTTGAAGAAAGTATCAGGGAATAGAATCACAAGGCTTAAAAAATAAATTTATCTCATGTGAGTATAAATTTAAGCACTAAAAATGCATTTTAAAATATTAAAAAAATAATAGATATTTAGGGAAAAATTTGAAAGCAAACTAAATAATAATAAACAAAATACGCAGAAATATTTTAAAAGTGAATTAAAAGTATAAACGAAAAACCCTCAAAATGGCAAGATTTAACATAACAAAAAATATTAAAAAAAAAAAAATTTAATAATAAATAAATGTGTAAATTTGAGTTTTGAATCATTTTTAACTCTCAAAAGAATTGCTCACTTATGAATCTAATAAATCAAAAATAAATATAAATAAATATTTCAAAATAATTAACTACTTTTGTCTGAAGGTCAACTGACTGACAATAAAAAAAAAATAAATAAATATAAAAAATAAAAAAAAACACACAAATAAATATTAAAGTTAAAATAAAATATATTACTCTTCAACATAATTTGAAAAATAATTAAAAATGTCAATAATTTTAAATGAATATCTAAAAGTGAAAATATAGAACAAAATTGTAACAATTTTTCTTCACACTGCAATTAAAAACTTTAAGAGAGTTGAAAATTCAGTAAAGAAACAAAATTGAAATGATTTACATATTTAATATTGTGTTCTCCCCATTTAAAATAAAGATCGAGAATACAATATTAAAGGAACGTCAGCAAAAAATATATAAAAATATTCAATAAAATATATCTAAACGAACTCACTTCAATTTGAAAACATTTTTCTTGCTGCATCCACTAAGTAATATTTATAACATAAGTAAACAATGCTCAACTTATGTAAATAAGTTTTGAGTCTAGTCAAGGTGCATGCATGTGTGCGTGTATGTGTGTTCGTATGTGTGTACGTTTATATGTGTTTCGACTTTAGAAGCAAGCACAGTTCTGTGAGCTCCACTTCAAAGTCTAAACAAGTCTGACCACTTTGGTTATGCTGGTTAGTGGCAAAGGGCGCCACAATAATTCGAAAGCTTTGTTGGATAGAGATGTGGGCAGAGGGGAGAGGGTAGGGAGCCGAGGAGAACAGATGTCGGAGCAAAAGTAATACAAAAGTTAACCACAAGACGAAACATGTAACAAAAAAGCAAAAACGCAAAAACGCAAAAATAAAGGGCAAAAGAAAAATTATTATGCTAAACTTGATGTCTAATTTAAAACAAGCTACAAAGTCGGGCGAGAAGCCGAAAACAGAACCACAATAAAATTTGCAGTTGGCAAAAGTTTTGGGGCTCAACTAATTGAGATTGAGTTGGGGCCAATAAAACTTGACGAATGATGATGAATTTTCATTTTCAGACCGACTCGAACCTAAGGATATGAACCGAACGACGCAGACTAAACTCTGCCATGCACTCTCAGTGCTGCTGCTGACGCTCCTCCTGCTCTGCGTGGATCGCACAGCGAGTCGCCCCTCGACCGACAACGAGCCCGACAGCTCAACCTTGCCGCCTGGCGTTGACAATATTGAGGTACTTAGACGAGCTGCGGCTGAGACTTTGCTTCGACTCCCACTTGAACTATATTGCTTCTTACACAGATCCATCATGTGGAGGTCGTGGATGGCATTCACCGCGAGGATCATCCGGTGATCATGTACAAGGAGGACTTTGTCAACGAGGATTACGGTAAGCACTGCAAACTGAAGGCATTTGCCAAACGGCACAGCTCAGTGGGAATTAGTAAACAAGAGCGAGACGAGGCTTTGCCGACAATTTAAATGAGTTTAGTTTGAAGCTGAAACGGGAATTGCTTTATAATAATATAGAAGATAACTTATTATAAACAGATTTATATATTTTTCTTTAAATAATCTATTTTGGTGTATCATAGGATTAATCGTATCACCACTAGTTGCAGAGCCCCCACTAGACTGATTCGTTGATAATGTTTCCGCCTTGCTGATAACTAAAGTTCCCCAACTTTTATTACTATTCCAGATCCGACCAAAAATGAGACCAAGTCCATCTACCCCAAGCTGTACAAGCGCACACAGCGCACAAGACATCATCATAGTCGAGCCACTGCGCAGCCAGCGCTGGAGGAGGAGAAGATTATCTTCGATGTGCTGCCCGAGACGCCGCTGATATTGAGCGACGACGACGATAAGAGCAAGCAGCGCACAGAGGAGCCGACGAAGGAGGCCTCACAACACAAGTATCCCAAGAAGTATCACAGTCGTCATCGTCGCCACGCCTACAACCAGAATGTGCGCCACTTGTATAGAAACGACCTCTATGCGGCACAGCCAGAGCCCGTCTACTATCACTCAGTGCCCGCACGACACTATCTGCCCATTCAGCCAGTGCAATACTATCAGCGGTAGGTTCTTAAGAGAATGCACTAAAGACTGCAGCAGATATTGATAAGGAGTACTTGTATATCATATATAGCTATCCAACGATTGGCAAGCCGCCAAAGTACCAGGGAAAACTCCCCTTCTGGCGGACTGAAGCGCCGCCCAAGAATCCCGAAAGTATCGGCACTCGTTTGGATACCGATGATGAGAACAGCCTCTTCCACAACTCCAATCCGGCTGACGCAGACTTCTCTGTGTTCGATCAGCCGCCGCCGAGCAACACGATTGCGAACCAAAACACCAACAACAACTTCTGGCCCGTGCAAGGTAAGTCGAGGTCTTGGAGATTTATCATATTGGCAAAATCGTAAATTGTGATACAATTCGCAGAGGTAGAGCAGCCACCAATTTGGAGTCCAAGTGAAGCTCGCCGACCAGGTAAGCCCAACCGAGCCAATTAGACTTGACTCTCTTTGAGTTCGCTCTCGTCATTCATTAACTTGGCTAACAATGAGCTTCTTTGTGCCTGACAACTTGGTTAAACATGTCACTCGGATATCTAGTTAAGCCCTTCTCTCATACGCTTGTAATTATTTGTGTGCTCTGTCATTCCGTCGAGCTTATGTGACTAACAATCATCGCTTCTTCTTCTACTGCTTCTACTTCTTCTTCCTCTTCCTCTTCTTCTTCTCTGTCTGACTGACTTTCACCTTCTTGTTACTACGCCACAGCATGGATACCAACAACGCAACCGCCACCGTGGGCACGCCCAACCAGGCAGCCAACCGCGACCAGCGCACCACCGCGACCCACCACAGCCAAGGTGTCCAAGTGTGTCTGGGCCATTGTCAATTGCTGTTCGCAGGGCAGCACCAAGATTCGTTACAATTGCTTTGAGGAGTTCGGTTGCCATGGCGCCTTCTGGGGCGTGAATCCATGTGCCGAAAACATTCGCACCAACGCGATAGCCAGTCTAGCGTGATCGATCGATCGCTGGGCCGATTGACCGATATGTCGATGTAGAGCGAGGCAATCAGCGAGAGTCGCTCGACTGCCGGAAAGTATTTCAAATATTTATAGCTATACAGGAAAACAATTTAATTTATTCTAAGCATTCATTTTATATTGAAAATAAAGAATCATTTTGATCAACAATCAATGCGATGCGGTGTTTGACTAAATTCACCAATTTCGATAATGCATGATTATTTAATATACTCAGCACTTGATGAAACTCCGTCCGTCTGGTCAATATCTCTGTAAGTGTGGTCGTTCTTCCGTCTATCTGTTCAACTAACATTCCGCTTATCTGTCCACCCCTCTGTCCATAAATCTATCTATCGATCTGTTCGTTCGCCTCTCCATTCCTATTCCTCTTTACTTCTGTCTATATAAAATCAAACTAGAGACTTGATATTTGGCTTAAAGGTGTAAACGTATATACATAGAAAAGGCTTATGTATATACATATACATAAACATCTATCTACCCAACTCTCTCTCTCTCTCTTCCTCTTTCTCTATCCATCTCTCTTGCACAATTTCTCAAATCAAATGAAATCATAAACTTGTGGTAGTAAAATGCTAAATCAATTTCTCTATAATAATAGTTCCATAACTTAAATGATTTTTATACCCCGAACCCATTGAAAATGGGAAATCAGGGTATAATGGTTTTGTTGAAGAAGGCGTGGCAGACCCCATAATGCCCTATCCGTCTGTCTGTCTGAAAGTTTAATAAATGTACCATCCATCGAGTATCATATCATTCAGCTTCTGTCATGCAGTCTCAGAGCATTGAGCTTCTATCATAACTTCGCTAGAAGACTTCAATTAAGAGCATTTATATATCTATTAATCATATGATTATGTTTTCTATTTCATGAGCAATGAGGATACATTTTTTTCCAGCTTCATACTATGCAGACTTTGGTATTAATGTACTTTGCATTGAGTCTTGTAGCATTCAGCTTTTGTCAAGCAGCTGCCCTAACTCAAGTTTCAAGATTCAAATTCACCAGAAAAGTTGAGCACGGTTTCTTAATTATACAAAGGGCTATGTCTTCTATTTAAGGGAGCAAATTCTGATCAATATTCCCACAAATTTCATAGAAGTACCATCCATCGAGTGTCATATCATTCAGCTTCTGTCATGCAGCCTCAGAGCATTTAGCTTTTACCAAGACTTAAGATCATTTATATAACTAAATTAAGAGCATTTATATTACTAAATTATATTACTATATCATGAGCAATGTTTTTATAAGCTTCATACTATGCAGGTTTTGGTATTGATGTACTTTGCATTGAGTCTTGTAGCATTCAGCTTTTGTCA